AATATAACAAAAGGAAACTTGGCAACTTATCAGATGTGATATGTGGTAATTTAGCAAAATAATAAATCGGGGGTTGAAATTTTATTAATAAAAATAAAGAATAACTAGGGCTTGAATTGTTAATGGGAGTTAGAATGAACTTACTATGTATATTGCATGACATGATTTAAGCTATTCTTACAGATAAAAATAAATAGTACAAAATAGTGATTTTATTGAAATTTGCTCAAACATCATACTTGACCTCAATTAAAATTTGAGTAGCGGTTATTGATTCTAAATTGTTATTGAATACTATCGAAAATTTTGTTCTCATAACATTATAAAAATCGATAATAATAATGGTTGGGTCAATAGGGTGGGAATCTGAAATTTTTATTTTATTAGCCAATAGAAGTTCTCCACATCATATGGTTAAAGCAAAATTGAGTCTTATCATTATACACTCCCGATTAAATTAATTCAAACGAATTGATTGATGTAAAGGTAAATAATGACTATGACGTTTTCTTTTGGGAAAATTTTAGTATGTTCTTCTCATAGGAAAACTTTCGTATGATTGGCAGTTTAAATCAAATTAATTTTATATTATTTATACAGTTTAAAGTACTTTTTTAAAAAAATAAAACTACTATTAATAAACAAAAAAGAAGTATATATAAAGTTTTATTAGGGTTGTAGGACTCCACTATTAAAAATAATAAAAATTCTTTTTTGTTTTAGAGAAGTTAGCATAATAGCGACTTCATAAAATTAGGTTGTCACCATGCTAACTTCTCTAAAACAAAAAAGAATTTTGATTATTTTTAATAGTGAAGTCCTACAACCCTAATATAACTTTCTATATACTTCTTTTTTGTTTATTCTAAGTAATTTTATTTATTTAAAAAGTACTTTAAACTGTATAAATAATGTAAAATTAATTTGATTTAAACTGCCAATCATACGAATGTCTGCCTATGAGAGTCGCTTCTGGGTCACGCGAGCACGTGCCTGTAGTCAGGTCACGTTTCGGATGCATTCGCAGATTAATAAGGAAAAAACCGTAAAATAGAAAATTCGCAAATTGTAAATTTTAGGTAAAAGACTAATAAAAAAGATAAATGAGACCTTTTTTTTTGTCATCATTCTATATTGCATCTGGATTTTGTATTTAATCCTTATTGCAATAATAATAGCAATAGAAATTGAAATATCAAATATAAAATAAAAAAAAGGCGGATGTGATTTTTCCTTTCTTGAAATTGTAAGGAAATTTTGACTGCAGATCTCATGCATAAAGATAACACAAAGTACAAAAATTGAATGATTTATCTAAACCCGGGGGATGGCTAAAGCCATGTACTCACGTGTTTTTTTTGAAATTTAATTAAAATTAGTTTACTGTTAGGATAAGTTTAGAGTAAGAGCAGGTATAAAGGTAAAATCGTCTTTTCGACATTTTTTATTAGTGCCACATGACAGGTTTAGACTGCCGTTTTTTCATATTTTCTCATTTTTACTTTTTGACTTCTTCGGGCTGATCCGTGTAAACAAAATTTCGCCATTCTGGTTGGTTGATTTACACAAAAAGTCACCTGGAGATATGGCTTTAGATGACCCTAAATTCGGTAAAAGTTGATGCAATCTAGTTCGCATATGATATAACTATTACACCACATTATCAAATATGGTAAGAGGGCCGGGCAAAATTGAATATTTCTAAAGAGGTTTTTTCCTTCGATTTTTCCCTATCAAAATTATTTTACAATTTTTGATTGAGACGGCTACCTTTGCAAAAAATAAGCCACTTTTTTTTTTTTAAAAAAAAAAAAAAAAAAAAAAAAAAAACGTATAGACAAAGATGAATAAGAAAATTGCATGCTTAACTTTAGCATTAATCTACTTTCTTGTTTTTGTACAAGAATCAATTGCGGGAATTATTCCTCAAAGCAATGCTAACCCTTTGCTGAAACGTGGTCATAAAAAAATGTGCGACGATGTCGTTGTCGCAAAGGCAATATTCAATGACAAAATAAGAGGTGTAATAACCCTCTCCGAAAAAAATGATGATAGCGCCTTTATCATTGGTCTTTTCTCAAAAGGTTTTGATGATCCAACGAAAAATTGGTATAATATTCTTCTCAAAGATTGTAGTAGCAAGGTTGCCTTTAATTTGACAAAATATATTGAATTTGAAGATGGCGGTACTCAACCATTCTTTATAGCGGCTGATTTCAATCTTCATGAATTTTTGGGCGAAGATGAAGATGGCAAGGTAAAATGTCAAACTGGTCCGACTGTTACTGTTACTAGTAATGATCAAACTAAGGCCAGCGTATCGGTTAAGTCCACTCCAAGTTAATTTTCTGTTTAACATAATACAAAAGTAGTTATAAGGGTGGGGCATTAAAAAAACACAGTTGATAAAATGCAGTAATTTTATTGACCGTAAAAAATGTAAAAATACTAAGTTAATACTGCAATTTGATTGGTTAATATGATGCGTTTTTTTTCATACAAAATTTTAAAAAATAGAATGAGTGATTATGTCAAATAGAGAGTTACTGGTTTGGACTAATAAGTAATTCCATAAATAATTATTATTTTAAATTTTTTTTTTTCCTATTGTTGACTTAATAAGTTCTTTTCTTGTACCATTTAAATTTCATCAAAGAATTTTTGTAAGTGCAACGTCTTCACATTATATGCGATCAACAAAGATTAGCATAATTTATTAAAAATTTATATGTAACTTCCCTAAAAATGGTACTATATATAAACATCGAAGTTGGGAAAAAGCTTAATACATAAAAAATCATTCAATATTGCATACGGCACATATCCACCCATATTTTAACGCTATTTGAATTGCGTTTTTCAATTATGTCCAGCGTTCAAGCCAGCGTAAAGTTCTTCTGTTAGTTTAAAAAAAATATTTATTAATATATATAGATACATATATGTACTATATATAGATATAATATATTTACAGTATCTGTAATCTGATAAGTAATAACTGATGGCATGTACTGTACGTATGTACGTATTAGTATGTATTATGAGATTAACATGGTGAGCCTTCTGTCAATAATAAGTACAAACATATAGAATGTCGAGAATAATAATACTCATAAATGCACTATATCATACATCAGTCATTAACAAGTTCAGTTTGCTGTTCATTGATAATATTTGTTATCGAAAATTATAAACTTAATTATCACTGCATTAATAGGACACTAAATTAATAAGCATTAATGATAAATGATTCATTTTTACATAATTCAAGTATTTTGTGTAATGAAGCGGTTGAATATGTTTGTATCTTTCACCGGTAGATTTATTTTAGTTTCGTATCGATTTTCATGACAAGCTAATTGGAGTTATACGTAACCCAGCAAATAACGACACATTAAAATTTTATTTACAGTATAAAATTTTTATTGCGTAAAAAAAGAAAAAGCCATATTCGTTCAAAATTATTCAGTGATCTTTATTATTTAACTTTACATGAGATTCGAATTTATTACCAATAAAAAAAGTTTTTTTCAAGTATAATTTTTTTAAAAAAATGATCATTTTAATAAAAGCTTTATTACTAATAAAAAGAAAAGCTT